CCATGAAAGCAGAAACCTGGCATTTTTTAAAGTGACAATTATGAATAGCATGACTATTAGGCAATAATTGCAATAACAATAAACTCTTTTAACCAGTTGTTTCTACTCTATTACTTTCCTAATTCCACAGTTTTAGGGTGTGTCACATTAAGCAGTCAGTTCTCCAGACTCTTTGCCTGGATTGAGCAGTAAGTTTCACAGTTTGTGTTAGAAAAGAAAGTGTGCATTTGAGAGTCTGGGAAATGTTTCCCCCCAGGAGGTTTCACAACATGTTCAGGCACTGCTGAGTGCCTAGGTGGGATTTTTAATGTTTTTTTCCTCCCAGTGCAACAGTCCATGTTTCTGTAGAAAGCACACGCACAGGATGTACAGGTGGAAGACAACAGAACAGCCATTTGTGAAAGAGGAACACTTACCTCTGTGCATTGAAAGAGCACCTTGTAAAAGGTTTTAGATACTTTAGCTGTTAGTTGTTTGAAAACAGCACAGGATATTTCATCCGTAACCAAAGACACCAAACAGCAACTCACCTATTTCCCTAATTAGAATTTTACATTTTCTACCATAGCAATCTCTCCAATTCTATCACAACACAACTAAAGCCTTTACATTACCTTGGCAATTGGAAACTCCGGTGAAGAAATAACACCCAGTGAGTGCTTTGGCATTCTCCTTTAAAATTAATATCAAGTGCTGGCCTGACCATTTTTTTAAATACATTTTATTGATCTTTCACAGAGAGGAAGGGAGAGAGACAGAGAGTCAGAAACATCGATGAGAGAGAAACATCAATCAGCTGACTCCTGCACATCTCCCACTGGGGATGTGCCCGCAACCAAGGCACATGCCCTTGACTGGATTCGAACCTGGGACCCTTCAGTCCGCAGGCCGACGCTCTTTCCACTGAGCCAAACCGGTTTCGGCCTGACCATTTTTTTATGGCTACACTAGCAGAAACCAGCCATTGCTACCTTCTTGCTTGTAGTAACACATGATGCTCACCCATAAAATTTTTAACCGCAAACCCAAGCACTGAGCAGGCTCTGAACCTTAGTATAACGCCAGAGACAATTATGCAACCGGCACGCATTTTCAGAGATGCTGGAGGCCTTTTATCAGATTCATGGTTAATGAACGTTTTTAATAGAAGGGAGCAGTTTTCCCTGAGGGCTCTAAAAATCTGCCATCATTATTCTACTGAACCAGGAAAGTTTTGGGAATTCTGAATTTGTTAGGAAGAACTCCAGTCACTCCAGAGTGGTCTTCTTGCCGTCTTTGACCCCGGTAACCACAATATCCATGGATTTTAAACCATTTTTATATGTGGGCATTATGCATGCATGTTCAAGGGGTTTTATAACTTTGAAACATTGTGTAATTAATTATTGAAATCTAATAAACTTGGATTCATTTGCTGGGCAGTTATTATATAGGCTTTATAACAGCTGTTACATAGGAAGGTAGAAAATAGTGTACAGTTTTTTAAATTAGCTATTTTTATTTTTTTGTATATTTTTATTGACTTCAGAGAGGAAGGGAGAGGGGGAGAGATAGAAACATCAATGATGAGAGAGAATCATTGATCAGCTGTCTCCTGCATGCCCCACACAGAGGATCAAGCCTGCACAGGGGATCAAGCCTGCACCCAGATATGTGCCCTGGCAGGGAATCAAACAGTGACCTCCTGGTTCATAGGCCACGCCAGTCGGGCAAAATTAGCTATTTTTATTCTCACCACAAAGCTGTCGGGTTGGTGCTACAAAAATAAGAAAATCAAGGTTTGTGGAGTTTTCATTACCCCGTAATAAGTGACTGAGACCATATCCATCAGAGCAGTCAATTCCATTGCCCAGGGTTTTCGTACAATGTCATAGTATTGAGGAAATCAAGAACATAATTGCAGATTATTTATAGAATTTTTAAAAATTATTTTATGGTAGAGGAACTTGGACAGGGCTTCCTAGGCTAATGGACAAAGAATTTTCCAAACCTGTGGTTTGTCTTGATGAAAATATGAAGTAAGTTTTGAAGAATCAGGCTAAAGATAGCAGCATGGCCAGCCGTGCAGATGAAGTAGAAAATAATCGAAAGCTTCCTAATGAAGGACTGGACTGCAGGACTTGATTCATGGAATAATGAGATGCAAATATTAGGCTTTCCAGAGAGAATGAATTTTTTTTTCTAAAAATAAATCTGACTATGCCACCCATGGCCAAAAATTTAAGAGCCTTCTCCAAAAATTTAAGAGCCTTCTCAGCAGCTCTAAGATAATGTCTGAAGATTTTTAAGTTATATTCAAGGTACCACCAATATGCTCCATCCACACTGAACTACTTGCAGTTTGCAGGACACACCGTTCTGTTTTATTCATCCTTGTTTAAAAGATGAATTCTAACTCAATTTTAAAGAGCCTCCTTACGCTTTTCTCCTTTCTGAAACCTATAATGATAAAAGTTGCTGCCTTCCCCGCAAAAGATTGGCTCATTATTCCATAAAACCTAAGAGTATTGAGAAAATACTAGGAGCATTTTCATTCAACTTATGAGCAAATCACAGGTGTCAACTCTATAAACTAAGGATTCAGCAGACAAATGGCACAACCAATTTAAGATTTTTGATAATACATGTACACAAAGGTATGAACAGGACATAAAAAAGACAGAAGGAAGAGGAAAGTAACCTCCCTTAAACAACAGTAACAAGGGAAGAAAAAGCAGAATAGGAAAGGCTGTCTCTTGGCAAGGAGCCCATTTTCTACTGCATAGACACCTCCCCCACTGATATCACAGTCCAGGTCCCTGCCATATCAGTGACTTGCACGATTATCAAGTCATTCCAGTGTTTAAGACCTCATCCTGGTCACCTTACATCTTTAATCTCTTACTGGATTCACAGTCCCTTCTCTCTCTGCAAGCAGACAAAAATGGGAAAAGGAGAAGGAAGGCATGGGTTCTTTCATGTGAACCTTTCCTCTCCCTCCTGGTGGTAGGTTCCCTGGTGTTGGGAAGGAAGAAAAGAGAGGAACAAGACCAATGACTCTTTATTTAAATGTCTGTGTGAACATTGCTGGTCATTGAGTAGGGTTACAGCTCTTCCAGTTTATTGTTTGGGGGGAACTAGAAGCTTGTGAAGCTGGTAGTATGACATTCATTTCCAAGTAGCAGCTGGAGCATTGATGGATTCTTCCAAACTCAGGCCTGGGCTACTCATTCCCACTGCACTTCAGCTGGTACTGGCATGCTACGAGCTTGGAGCTGCCTGCCTCCTTGCCCCATCTGTGCAATCCATGACAAGGCCACAGTCCATGATCACATCTTCCCTCTCCTGTTCCCAATTCTGGCACTTCAAGCTCATCTAGGAACCATCTCCTATACTTCTTAGCAACCATAAATTTAAGGAGTTGGTCCCTGGCCCCCTGTCTGGCTAATTGTCCCTCACTCAACCCTGCTCCGGTCATATTGTCTGCTAAGTAAGCAGCCAATCCAAAAGTGAAATGCCCATCTTTCTGGCACTTCCAGAGTTTAGGAGTATTTCTTTTGGATTTTCCTTTTCCTCACCTCCGGGAAAGGGGACATTTCCCCTCTTCCTTTCCCCAGGAGCAAAGAATAGTCCCTTTACTAATGCCTGAGTGATCACTTTCTTTCTTTTAATTCTTTTATTATCGAGGGAGAGGGGTCCTGGTGATGAAATGGCTCTTATCAGCAGGTCCTATGGAGAGGTTTAGGCCCCAAACTAGCAATTATCTGAGATTAGAAACCAAAGGTTTCTTAGAATCATCTATTTTCAGATTCAATTATTAGCCATTTATTTTAGAAAAGTACATTTCTTGTTGATCTTCTATATTGCATATAAAAGTGTAAATTGTTAAAATCTCTCCGGGGCAAAATTAAAATTGACAAATAAATTTTACTTCTAAGAATTATACTATAGATAAACTTATAATTATTATAGTTTGTTTATAATAGCAAAGGATTGGAAACAACCGAAATATGGTTAAATTATGATATGTTCATATAATGGATCAATGGCCAAACATTAAATATTTTACTGTTTTGATTATTATAAGCAATGGCCCAGTAATTTATTTATTTTTAATCCTCACCCAGGGATATTTTTTCCCATTTATTTTTAGAGAGAGCAGGAGGGAAGAAGGAGGAGAGAGAGAGAGAGTAAGAGCAACATTGATATGAGAGAGACACATCGATTGCATTGGCCGCCTGACGAATGCACCCCTACGAACCTTCAATGTTCAGGCTGACACTCCAACCACTGAACAACACTGACCAGGGCTCAGTAATTTATTTTTAAGCAAATACTCTTTGAACCTTTCCTTTGTAGTTAGTGCTGTGATATTCCAGGCTACATTAAAGAATGAGAGATAACTATATTTTTTGGGGGGGTGTGTGAAAAATATAAAGGATAATTAGGGTATATGGGGAGAGAGAGAGAGAGAGAGAGAGAGAGAGAGAGAGAGAGAGAGAGAAGTTGGTGTTATTATCCCTGTTTTACAAATGAGCCAATTGATATGTGAGAACACAGCAAATTCTTATCACAGAACCAGAAGTAGCATAACCATGATTTAAATACAAGTTAATCTGACCCCAAATCACAGGTACTTTTCAATACAACATGCTGAACACTTGACTAACTTTTATGCCATCAGGAGACCTTATCACACTATACTGTAGCTATATGTTGGTCTCGCCTGGCGTACTGTGGCCTTCATGAGGGCAGGTGCTCTACAGCCATCTTCCTGTAATAGTAACACAATATCTGAGGATCATATGAAATTTTAACTCCTTGAGTAAATATGATTATATCCAAGTCTCAAACCTGCACAGCAAATTGAATTTGGTGAACATATATCAATGTTATGTGCTATTCATACAAAGAACCATTCAATTCCAGGAAGAACACTTTCAAGGCCCTTATGCGGATAATGTAGATGTCCGTTATTAAGTATCTGAAAGTTCAGGCCCTAAGCTTCTGCTTACTTGCAGGTCGCTCCTCCAAAGATTCAGTGGGTCAGATCTCTGTTCATGTGGACATCACCACCACCCCAGGAACTGGAGAGCATAAAGTCACTGTGAAAGGTACATTTTGGATCCAGATAGGCCAAGCAGCTCATCAGACTTTAATGTCTGCAAAATTAATATTAAAATGTCATTTTTATCTGTGTTTGAATATGTGTATTAAATTATTTTAGGGGTTTAGAATGTCTTCCTGAACCTGAATTTTTATTTAAAAACAAATATATGCCAGAATTTTTATTTAAAAACAAATATATGCCACAGATAATTAATGTATGTAATTTGAAATATTTATTTTCTCTGTGGTTAATCCTATGATATATATATATATATATATATATATATATATATATATATATATGGAATATTAGTGGTTTGGTTGGCTTAATATTCACATAACCTACCTAATTCTTTCTCTAAGTTATTTTCAACAACTTATTTGATTTTTTAAATGATAGTTTAATCTATTGGTTTATATTGTAAAAATATCACCTGAATTCAAGGGTCATTTCAAAGATGAAATTAAATGGTTAATATTTTGCTCAATAGAACCATGTTCTAAATAACATCCACTTCAATAAAAACTATGCCCCTCTAACATATGTAAAATTGCATTACTGAATGGATCTTTGTATTATAAAAATATCACTGCTATCTATCATCTATAACAAATTACATGCAATGTAGAGAAAAATACAGATAAATGTGAATGCCTATACATGCCAGTATCCTAAAATATTTTGTCACTGTAAAGCAAATGCTCAAAGTTTTATGAAATTGTTGCAATGGCAATTTTAGTTATAAGATACTTCCTTAAGAATATCATCATTAAAGAGTGGGCAAAGTATAAATATGAGAAGGTACACTTAAGAATTATGTGTGATGCTTGAAATTAAGAAACAACTGTGTTTGTGTTTAACAATAGGTGATTGGTTAAATATAGGATGGAATATATATATAGTGGAATATTTGCAGTTGGAAGATATTGAATATATTGAATTAGAAAGATATCAATGATGAACTTAAAAAATACAGCTACTTATAAGACTGCAATATATTATGATCCCATTCTATATATGAATTAAATGTTGAAACCATACATAAAATATTAAGGGATTGCCTCTGAAAAATTATAGATTTTAAATCTATTTTCTAAATATTTAATGATAGATATAAACAGTATTTTTAATATGAAAAACATCATGTTTTTACCCACACAAGAGGAATGATAACTTTCACCACTCCGGTGTCACACAACTAAGAGCTGAAAGTCCCATCAAGTGTGCATTCCAGAGAGTGAAATGTTTTTCTTCAAGAATATTTTCTTATCATTGGAGTTAGGACACTATCAAATACAAGTTATGGCTTCACACATCATTTTTTAAAACAAAAATTCATTGTAAGTACCAAAAGGGAGAGGCAGAGATTCCACACATTCATTGGCTAACACTCTGTATCCCATTCCCTTTTTGGTTTTATAGTGATGGCTATTAATAACCTGAACTGGCAGACCACCGCCATGTTCCGCCCCTTTGTGGAAGTTTGTATGCTGGGACCCAATCTTGGAGACAAGAAGAGAAAACAAGGCACAAAGACAAAAAGCAACACCTGGTCACCCAAGTACAATGAAACATTTCAGTTGTAAGTCATGACCCAACTCATTTATTCAACCAGGCAATAGTCACTGTGTAACTAAACTTACTTACTGAGCATCACAGATCCCCGGCAGATGAAAAAGGCTATGTTTTTAGTTCCTTCCATTGTCAGTATCTGTTCAGTGCCTACCATGTATCAGGAAATACTATAAGCATTGACTATGTATAATAGGATTTCTCTGCTCTCATGGAATATACTTTCTAGAGATGAGGAACTTATGATAAACAAAAACCTATTATGATAGTATTATGCAAAGAATTAAAACAGGGCAATGCAATAGAGTGTTTACTTGGCTACTTACATTGGTGTTCAGGGAAGCCTCTCTGAGTTTTAAATTGAAACCTAAAAAAAGTAAAACATCAGTCATGCAGAGGAGTGTTGACAGCATTTCAGGCCAATCAAAAATGTCAGTGCCAGGACCCTAAGGCAGAAGCTTGCCTGGCCAATTTAAGAAACAGTATATACTGGACAAGAGAGTGAGGTGAACTGAATTTGAAGAGGGTATCAGGGTACAAGGCTTCGCGTCAGGGTAAAGGGGACTAGGTTACAGTCTCAGTTCAACAGGAGACCTTGAAGGATTTTCAGATTAAGGGAGGAACGATCTGGTTTACATCTTTAAATGACTATTCTGTTTGCTGTATAGAGAAAAGTTACAGGGAATTAAGACCAAATATGTAAAGGTAAGTTAGAAGGTTTTGCAATGGTCCAGGTAAGAGATAACAGTGACTGGTGAGATGGTAGTAGGAAATGGAAGCAAGTAGTAGAAAAATTCTGGATATGTATTGGAAGTAGGTTCTATAGAACTTTCAGTGGACTGGAGGTAGAACATGAATATAATTAGGTTCCTGAGAACATTCAATTTAGAATATTTTAAGATCCTGAGAACATTCAATTTAGAATATTTTAAGACAGACTTATGTACAAAGGAATTTACAAAGATGTAAGAGTAGAGAGACTACAAGAAATGTAACCTGGGGCAAGTAGTGGCCAGGATGTGGCCCCTAGGGCACTGAGGAAGGAGAGGATGAGATATTATTAAAATTGGGGAAGTGAAAACTTCCGGTGCAGTGGGCCACCTTAAAAGAGCAGTGGCCCTCCGTGTTGGGAAACAGCCTCACAGGCAAGGAGCCAGAAACAAAGACTCTGATCTTGCTCTCCTCATTACTTCTGATTTTGTGATAGGTCTTCCTTTCGGCCAAAACCACTGGAAGCCAGAACACAGAGAAACTCTATTATAGTCCTAACAGGCCAGCATTCCATTTATGACAAAGTGCAAAAAGAAAGATGGGGAGTACATCCAATTAGGGCAAATGGAAGTTACTGAAGGAAATAAAGGATACCCCCTAGATTTTGGGGGAGTTGTTTACTGAGATGGGGACATAGGGACAAGAGATACGGAGATCAGAGATTTTGTTTGATTTGGAAATGCCTATTGGACACCCAAGAGGAAAGATCAAATATATAATTGAATATGACTTGAAAATGATCTGCATATAGATGAAATTCATTCCACAAATCTGGATAATCTGAACTAGGGACAGATAAAGAAGAGAGGGAGACATAGGATCAAGCTCACGAAAGTTTGTGTCTACAGCATGCTTGATTAGAAAAAGTCACTTTAATAGGAAGGAATGTGGGTGCTATTCTGCTGAGCAATAGATGTGCATTTATGAGAAAATCAATATCTGAGAATGAATTGAAGAAAGTGCAGGAGAGAATTGTTCTCAGCATATCAGCACCCAGCCTTCTACATTACACTCAGTGGTGCACTGACAAGCTGTCTTGCGTTGTTATTAGTAGAGGCCACCCTCAGCCCCACACTTGGCAGCCTAACTGTTGCCATATGAAAGAAGTGGCATTAAAGAATCAGCCTCTGCTGGAACTAATGTGCTCTGGAGATTTGTATCCAATTTAGCATCTTGTGAATAGTGCTTGGTAGTCTGTGCAGTGAATTCCCCCGAGAAAAGGCTCCTAGATACAACGTATTCAGGATCCTGAGGTAAATAAAAGAGGTTTTAATAAATGATGTTGAAATGACACCGAAATTCTTCCGACATATCCCTTACCCAAGCCTAGCTCCCATGATCCCCAGCAACCCTATCCTACACCTATATCAGAGGGGAGATCCTGACTTCAATGATTAAGTACAGCACAATGCTTTAATTCCAGTTTCTATTGATATGTTTAACATCAGGGCACAAATTCATATTTAGATGGAGTTCCTTTTTATATCTAGGGAAAGAAGGAGTTTTTAAGTTACATTATAAGTAATATCTAAGTAAAGACAGTCTAAGTAAAATTTTAAAAATCAGAATTAAAATAAAGTGAGACTCTATTTCCCAATATAAAAATGTATAGCATTTTTAGAACTGTGTTGATCTCTAGGTGAAATAAAATTTTTTCTCAAAATTTATAATTTTAATCCACACAGTATTCTGGGTAATGAAAACCACCCAGGAGCCTATGAACTTCATCTCTCAGTTAAGGATTACTGCTTTGCCCGAGAAGATCGAATTATCGGAATGACAGTGATTCAGCTACAGAGCATAGCAGAAAAGGGAAGCTATGGGGCATGGTATCCCCTTTTGAAAAATGTTTCTATGGATGACACCGGTTTGACTATTCTTAGAATACTCTCTCAGAGGACCAGCGATGATGTGGCTAAAGAATTTGTAAGACTTAAATCTGAAACAAGATCTGCTGAAGAGAGTGCTTGAAAGGAATACTGAAGATACCATCTTCGAGAATGCATAAACTATAATTGTTTGACTACTGCATGCATGTGCAAATACATGGGAATGTTTATTTCACTACATCTCAGTGTTTGCCAGTAATCACGTACAATGTCTACAAGGTACGTGGAAAACCTGCTGAACTTGTATACATACCATCACTGGTCTTTGGGAAATAAATGTTCCATGAAGTGCCAAAATTATGATGTAAAGTGAAATATCCAGATCTTTTTAAATGTTTATTGCATCTCATTAACAATTTTGCACCCACTAAGCATACTGAAAAACAATTAAGTCTTTTCAGTTCATCTATTAGTTGTTTTTGTTAAATTAGTTTCAATTGCCCATAGATCAGAAAGATTTGTTACTCAAATTCTGTTTTATTTAGACTTACCTCATTGTAGATGTCTTAGAAATACCCTTTTCTATTATAACTAGAAATGCAGTCACCACTAGAAAGCATTTGTAATTTTATAGTTGAAGATATATTGTGATGATTTTTGCATACAAATTAAAATAGAAAAGGTGGGAAATATTTTATGCTGACCAGTTTCCAACCTTTCTGAAATATCACTGTGAAGAAATGCTATTAAAGCAAACTTATACAAAGCAATGCTAAATAGTTTGTTAACAATGTTTGATATATTGACAAAACTTTGTTCTTCAAAACTGCCACAGTCACATCACATTTGTTAAAAGGGTAAGTTGATGCACTTGCCACCTAGCATTATGTCTTGGCTTTATCAAATTTCATTCTTTACAAAGTCATGTGATGGAAAGTTTTTTTAAAAAAATTATATATGATAAGTAACTACCATTAGTGTTTTCCCTCTGACAGATATGACTAACTCCTTAATTACTTAGCACTGTAATCAGTTAAATGCTTTTTTCTTTTAAAAATATTCAACGATTTGTACTAAATACAGCATTACTATATATTGCACTGGAACAAAAAGCCTTGTCTTCATCTACTTAATGAAAAATGTAAAACAGAATCTAAAGAAATTGCTTACAATCTTGTAATTTATGTTATTTATAAGACCAAGATGCATCAGATGAAATAGGAAAACAATAACTAAGTTGGATTTTGAATATGAAATACTTCATGAATATTTGCATTTGCTGTATCTTTATGGTTTGACTTTTTGGAGTCTATCTAAATAGTTGGCTGTAGAACAGTACTTTGAAACATGCTCATAACTGTTAGTGGACAACATATACCTGCAGAAACAAGAACCAATTACAATGATTGTGTTTTGTGAACAAGCTGGTCTGGTATGTTAAGAACAAAATTAATATTATCATGAATCTCAGAACCATTCTGCTACTGGATGTGAAAACACAGACGAGTGAAATCCACTAATTCATGTTAAATTGTTAGGCATTTGCTTTGTTAATGACTTCTCCAAATGCATAGTGCAATGTGATCCTGTGGCATAAGCATTAATAAATGGATGTATATTGAGAACATGCAACACTTTATTGTATTTGCTGCCTTCTTATTTAATTCAGGAAGCATCATTTCATTATTTAGGAATAAAAACTCCAGTGTTTTTTGTTTGTTTTTTACTAGCTAGAACAATCTTCACATTGTTTGGTTCTAATATCTTATTAGAATTTGAAAGATACTTTCCAGGACTTGTATTCATGGAAACAGCTACATACTATAAAATAATGACCCTGAAAACAAAGAAGAACTGGAGTATCTAACAGTGTGTCTCTCAATGCTGTTAAGCACTAAAAGAAAGTCAATATCATATAAACAAGCAACATGAAAAAATGTTTCATTATTTTAGTGAAGGATTCACTCTAGATTTATCTTATAATGATTTTACAGAACATTGGCTTGAGCTCTTTAAGAGCACATTAGTGTCATAAGGCATGATATACTTGAATAAATTATATTTTGGGTTTGCATTGATTGATTACTTAAAATGTTAAACTAAGTATTTTTTCCAAGCAATCGTTTAATTATATCTATTCATTCTCTTTTTTGTATAAAATGTATATCTAATTACAGCATGAATTAAGTCTTTTAATATCATAAAGTATAGGTACTAATATTCGAATAATTATAAATTCTACAGTCCTTGTTGTTTCTCCCAAGACAAGTATTTCTCTTGTCTCCAGAAAAATGCCTGTTGTATTTACATACTCAAATTAGTAATCACTCTGAGGCTCAGAGCAATCTCCATCAACGATGGGCTCCGTTAAAGTGTTGGGCAATTTATCTTATTCTAGGTAAAATGCACAAAGATAAAGCTCTGTTATTCATATACAGATGAACCTCTCTCATTAGAAGCTCTTAAAGAAATAAGTGAAAATCAAATTTGGCCAAAATAAAGTGCTTAAAGCCATAGTGGAGCATTTATTATTTGAAGGAACTCTAATAAATGATTATTTAATATAAGTAATCAGTTGTCCCCATCACATCTGCTCTATTCTAAGATAATTTATACATTTAATTTCCCTTAAATGAGACACATTTATAAATGACAATTCTAGCTTAATGTTTTTTTAAATATATTTTATTGACTTTTTACAGAGAGGAAGGGAGAGAGATAGAGAGTTAGAAACCTCGATGAGAGAGAAACATCAATCAGCTGCCTCCTGCACACCACCTACTGGGGAGCCCACAACCAAGGTACATGCCCTTGACCAGAATCAATCCTGGGACCCTTCAGTCCACAGGCCGACGCTCTATCCACTGAGCCAAACCGGTTAAGGCTAGCTTAATGTTTTTTATTGGTCTTCTAAAAAAATGTTTGAAGCGAGGTTTAGTTTCTTCTTTTCTCTAAATTATATAAAGATATGACTATACTGGTTTTTAATGGACTAATATAGTAAGTAGCTTTAATTTTTGCACTCAAATAATTAAAAATAATCATATTTATACAGAACTCAAGAAATATCCTTGGTTGATATCTGATTTCCCCATTACTACTAAGCAGAATTATTGGACACACCAGGAAAAGCAATTCGCAGAAGAGAAAAACTAATGACAGTAAATATATGTAGAGATATTCTATATGGAAATAATAAAAATTCAAAAGTTTTCTCTCATCAAGTTGGCAAAGATGTTAAAAAGTTGATTCAAGAATCAGCATAATATTTTGAACAATTCCTCATCAATGTTGTTAACAAGAGCTAAGTATACACTGCATCTATGAACTATAAGAGACAAGAGCTAAAGCAAATATATTTCAGAAGCAATAAGTAGCACACATTGTAATGAAGGTGACAGCAAAGAGAAGTAAATAATGAAAGTATTAACTTTGTATCAGGACATTCCTGTGTTGTGGGGATCTGTCCTGTGTATTATAGGATGTTTAGCAGCATGACTGGTCTCTTCCCTGAGTCCTAATAATCATGGCCTTCACCTTGGAAGTTGTCAGGAACCACCCAGCACAGTCAAAGAACTGGTAAACCAGGTGCAAGCAGGTTGCATAACAATCCTCCTCAGTCTCCCACCCTTCTAAATACTCAGGGCTAAAAAAATTACAACCCAAGGAAGCTGTCCCTCTAGTGTTGCTTCTTTCTACGAGTTTAGGAATAAACCTCTGATGAAATAGGCCATCAGTATCTTGGTAGCATGAGAAAACCTTCTGGTATCTCCCCTTATAGTTACAAGTTGGACAACTATAATTCAACAAAGGATTCCCTGTGCAACACACAAACAAGTCTGAAGGGCTGATGCATTGGGACATATGAAAGTGGGTATATCAGAGTAACAGGGCAGGCAGGACGGGGGAAAGACAGAGACAGGTGCCACAGACACAGTCTGGCACTTGACGTGCCCCAGTGGACATGGTAGTAGTGGAGGGTCAGGTTACAATCTCCACTGGGAAGGCCGGAGGGGCAGAGGGGGCATTCTGCCCTGAGTGACTGGTACACATTGAGGCTGAGCCCAGGGATCAGGACAGAGAAACCGTGCAAAGGGTGGAGGCTGTAATCAAGTAGCTGCCATCACCAGGTGAATAGAGGGTGGAGGGGAACAAACCTGCAGACACATGAATCCATCCCCCCCCTCCCTCCCATGGCCCGCTGGACTTCAGCAGATGTGGCAGTAACAGAGGGAGGTCACAAAGGGCAGAAGCAACATTTCAGCCTAAGTGGCCTGTACTCATTGCAGCTAAACCCAGTGGAAAAAAACAAAGCCACAGACATGTGAACCAGCCTCCTTCCATCCAACCACCTCTTTTTCACCATCAGAGAAGAACCTAGTAGAGGTAGCTGGGACACCTAGATAGCATGGCAGAGCTGGTGGATTCTGGTTCCAGGAAAACAATGCCAGGAACTTACATGCCACGATCCCTCTTGCCCACCACACCCATCATGGGGGTGGTGCCCTAAGACCTAGGTGACCAGGTCTTATAGAGGACACCAACCTCCTTGGGGAATATGGGGCATTTTCCATTTTAAAGGCAACACCACCCCCACCAAGATTTCAGAAGTCCCAGCAATGTAAGAGAAAACAAAAAATTGGCACTGTAGCACAATCTACTGCAAAATAAAAGAAAGGTCTCTACCAACCAACCCCCTACATGGTTAAAGGCATCAGGTACTTTAAAAAATTTCCATTCCTCAAATGCCAAAACATAGAAATAATATATCAAGTACTACAAACAACCAAGGTACCAAGGCAGTTCAGAAAGTATATGAAAAATTTCAAGAAAGTAAACTCAAAGACATGGGAGATTGTGATTTCAATATCAGAGATTCAAGAAAGCAGTTCTGAAAAAAATTCAATGAGATACAAGAAAACTCAGAAAGTCAGTGAGCTCAGGAATAAAATCAATTAACAAAAAGAGTATTTTACCAAAGAGATTGAAACTATAAAAAACAAATAGAAGTGCTGGAGCTGAAGAACACAGGAAATGACATGAAAACCTTAGGAAATAGAGCAGACTAGATGAAAGAAAGAATTAGTGATATTGAAGATAGAAATCTAGAAGTGGCTCAGGCAGAAGGAGAGAATTGAGAGGGGGAGGGGGATGAAAGAACTATGAGATCTAACTACAAAGAACAATATAAAAATAATAATGGGTATACCAGAAGGAGAGAGAGGAAAGGAAACAGGCTATTCAAACAAATAATAGGTGAGAACTTCCCAAATATATGGAAAGATCAGGACCTTGGAAACCAAGAAGCTAAGAGAACATCTAATTATCTCAATGCAAAAAGTACCTCTCCGAGGCACAGTATATTAAAACTATCAAATGTTTTACAAAAAGAGAAATCTCAAGGCAAACAGGGAAAAGAAAACTGCAGCCTATAAA